CTAAACAAGACATTAAATAACAGTATATTCATTTTTTTTGTGTGTTATTCTGTGACATCACTGTTATTTTTTTTTCACACGATAACACACGGTATATCACACTAATATACATATCATACGCATCTCCACATTTTTGTTGGTTATAACTGTAAATATTATTTTTTTTATATACATATATATCATATTCCCACATTTTTTGTTGTTGTTATTATAACCAGTGTTACCTCCGGACACTCTGGGGGGAGCTATGTGGAGATAACTCTAACAAGCTTATCTTGTAAATAGTTTTTAATATTATTTGTATTTATTTTGTCAACTTCTCACCGCATGTACATTTATTATTAAATGATTGTACCTGTTGTTTAAGTAAATGACCTTGAAGACTTTTTCCGTTGTAATTCTAACATAGCGTGACACACTTTCGGTTGTTCGCAAATACACCACTTCGCACATACCCATTGTTCTATTCTCGCTTGTTACCAAGTCAATTGCGCTCTAAACTGGATATTATCCTCATTTTAGACTGCTGTGCCATTTCCATTATATCCTACGTCAAAGAAACTTATTGGTGTCATATTTACCTCTGTGGAATTATTACGCATTTATAATTGTGGATTTATGGGACCAGAACTCAACAGAATACGCAACCACTAGCCGATTTAAGTAACGTCCCTGAACTTTTAATTTGTGTCGTTAATTTATAAATTATTATTGTTACATTAATATTGGACGTAATAACTTTACCACTGATTTTTGGTTATTATACTTTTTGGTCCACCACAAGCTGACCATTCCACTTGTGGACTGTCTTGTTTATAAAAAAGACGTGTAAACGTCAGCGCCTACCAACTCGACAAACCTTACATAGGTAGACTACCTGTTAATTCACATAAGGCTCATACAGCCAAACAGGAAGGAGAAGCTCATACGTTTCAAATTGAAAGCATAAACTGCTTATACATGAACGCCGCGAGTCTTCCCAATAAAATGGATGAGCTACGTGAATTTAGTAATGCTAATAAGGTTCATCTGATAGGAATATCTGAAACTTGAGTATCTTCTCAGTTCTCGGACCAGGAGCTAGCAACACCTGGGATGTCTTTGTTACGCAACGACAGAAAAACAGGAATTGGGGGTGGAGTAGCCGTATACATACGATCTTGCTTGGAGGGGGGAAGCGATCACGCTGTTATAGCTTTCAGTTTTGTCAGCAAAACTGAGCTCAGATATCCCGCTAACAACAGGCGCTGGAATTTCAAACGGTTGAATGTGTCAGATCTACGTACCCAACTGGAAGCCACGACATCAGTTAGAAGACTCAGATTTAAACCTTATGAAGAGCGCCTCAAATCCCTTAACCTTTACCTATTAGAGGTGACCTCATGGCTTATAGCATTCGATCTGCACTAATAAGGACTAGACACACATGTTATTTATCACCACCCAGTGATCAATCAATTGTGATTACATCTCAGTCCTAGAGGAGTTTAGTCGCAGCTCGGATAGCTCAGTGGTAACGGCTCTGACTGTGAAGCTGGGTGACACGAGATCGAATCCTCCAGGGAGCACCAGTTCCCTCAAGATTACAGGTGCACTTTGCTGACGAGTGGCACGAAACCCGGGCCCAGGGTTTCCTCTTGACTACCTCCAACCACCATCTAAATCTCAATATATAGTGCCCGCAGTGTCGAATCACCTAGACTGGTGGCCACATCGCAACATGATCGATAGCATTTGATCTGCACTAATAAGGACCAGACACGCATGACATTGATCACCACCCAGTGACCAATCAATTGTGATCTAATCTGGCTAGCGATCGTAGTAGCAGTTGAGCACGGCGTTCCCACACGTGATCTGGTGCGGATGCCTGACCGAGCGCCTTCAGCTAAATGAGTCCACTCAAACTAATCTGCTCAGCATCCAATGTCGAAAACTTACAGAGCTATTTATTTCGGGGATTTATTTACCGCTACAAGTCACTCCCCCACCTAATGAGGTAGTGATGACCCTAAGACGTGGCCAGCCAGAAGTTTAAACCCAACGACTTTGTCGTTGGTAAACACTCTTCTGATAGCTTACTAGGTTTAGCAGCGTCTGGCCGTCTTTCCTTACTATATGGGACCGAGGTACAACATAGTAAAATAAGAAAAAGTACAATGAAAATTTCGGCTCTTCGTAAACTACATCGCTCTTTTCCAGCCGTCCTGGAAAAAAAAAGAAAATGTAAGTGCATGTCGAAATACACTCGTACGCGCGTAAAAAACACAATGTCGGCGAAAAATGGAAAATAAACTCATGCACACGTAATTGCGTTAAAAAATTTGTTTTCTTTTTTATTAAATAATGTAAATATATAAGCATATTAAAACTGTTATTTTTTAAATATTATATATCGTAAAAAGAAAGATCGAAATAATATAAAATGTCGAGTAGTGCCTTATGTGCAGTAGTCGTTTAAATGTTCTGGAAATCCTACTCTTCTTCCAGAACGCGTCGTTTTAAGTTTATTTTCAGATACATCCGGAGTATCGTCGTGTGTGTTGGTTGTCGGTTGAGGAATTATGAGTGTAGGAGTCGTGTTATGCGATTGTACCGAAGGGAAATCGACGTAGATAGGATTTCCTTCTAAATACGCTGCTTTTGAGCGATCGATGCTGATGCTATCGTTTGTTCCGTTCTTATCGACTATATAGTACTTAGATTCATGCTGAAGAACTTTGAAGGGTCCCTCGTATGCTGATTCGAATGGTCGTCGATGCGACTATCGACGAACGAAAACGTGTGTACTATATCGTAAGTCAGGTTGAACGAAAACATCAGTTGGTTGTGGTCGAGTGGAAGCAGGTTTAACTGAACGCATTGCGTTTGTAAGCCCGTTCGTGCAGATCCATGTTCATTGAAGAGGATGAAGGATCCACGAATTCTCCTGGAAGTCGAAGTGTCGTTCCATAAACGAGTTGAGCCGCAGTGTATCCAATGTCAGCTTTCACTGCATTGCGAATACCTAGTAAACGAGTGGTAGAGCGTCTCTATAGACCTTTAACCCCCAACTGGTATATTTTTGTTTCTATTGTCCAGCCGATTATATTTCATTTCAATGTCAACATTTAATGATCCTGAGCCTTCCTATCCCAATTACAATTTCCCTATCTTTATGAATATTCAAGACCTCAACAATAGAACTATCATTAGCTTCTCTGATAAAAATAACGTAACACTTTTGTTTATTCTACCTCATTGTTACCACGTTTAACAAAAGCTCATTATTACTACTATTGTAACTGTTATCATCTTGAAAAGTAAGTATACATTATTATTGTACGGTTTTGAAAGTTGATTCGCCGAAAAGATAATTCCTTGTTGAACCAGCCACTTTTAGTTCTTTCAAGGTTTATTCCATAACTGACGTAACGAAATTTCCGTTATGATTATCCGTAAAATTGCAGTATCTAGTGTTTGCAATTCTGAGGGATAAACGTATAGTCATTCTTTGGATGTATCTACATACTTTATCACAAAGAAATATGTAGCCAGGAACAAATGCACCAACCGAATCACACCCAAACAGTTATTATATGTATTGTGAGAAATGTACATAATTGCTGAATAATTAAGAAATGGTAATATTTAGATAGCCTCATTTCATTTGAAGTGAAGAAACAAATGACATACCATCAGTTTGTAGTAATCTATTTTGATGCATTTGATTCCTCCTTTTGTTAAAAGCAATAAGGAAAAAATCCAGAGCTAACCTAACTATTCATCGAAATTACACGTCTTCATATTAATCTTGATTCTTACTCGTTGATGCTACTCCCAATACTAGCCTAACTAATCACTTATTTCACAGGCTTCCTGATATTGCAAAAAATTATTTTTTATTTGAGTTTCAACTTTTATGTATTTCACTTGAATTAACAACTCTATTCTTTTGTGAGAACGACGGTACTTTGTTAACATCTCTCACTGGTATACGACCAACTATAAAATACAGACCTTAAACAGTTTAAATCCATAATCGTAGATTTACATAAAATAATACTTGCAAGATGACAAATCCAAAGTGTTAAGGAGTTGTGGTTTGCAAGCACTGACTGTTTAGAACTGCTTTGGTTACTTAATTTTGGATAGTAGATTGATATTTTTTATCCTTACAATAAGTACGATACAAAGAAACATCCCAATAATTAAAAAGTCAATGAAATGAGGACTGCAACTCATTGATTAAGTATAGATCCATATATTCAGCTTTGATTAAAAGTTATTTAGCGAAGGCTAGAGGTGGTACTCGGTTACATGAACCGAAATAGGCGAAGAGTAAGCAATCCCTAAATAAGTATATCATTCTAATCTAGTAATGATAACTGTTCCATAACAGAAGACAAAACGCTTGTGCTACTTAAATTAGATATAATGAAAACAAGTACCTCATAGTTGAAAAAGTATGTTCACAAATAATTGATTTCATGCTAGCGAGACCAAATGAAATGATATTTGAGAAACTCAGAACTCAAATACAATGTACCGACGCTCAATTCAGTTGAAATCCCAAAGCTTTAATAAAAAGAACTGTGAATATAAATCGGACAGTAAACTAGCAACCCTTAAATTGTCTCTTTGTATTAGGAAACCAGCCGGAAACAATGAATACAAGAAAACCCAGAAGGATCAAAAAAGGTTGTTCAACAGTCTAAACAAACAATTGAAACAAGGTAATTAGAACGATTAAAACAAGATCTCTTCATGGGCAGACTATAACGAATCAAATGAATGCTATAAAATCTAGAATAGGTTATTGGTAAGAGATTAAAATTATAAGAATTATAAAACTTCCGTATACAACCCATGACTGATCAAGGTACAAGATCATTCATTAGTTTCAGTGGAAACAGGGATACCAATAAGCAAGAAAATATAACTTCTTAATCACGACATTCATATATTTTAAAAATAACGTTAACCAAACGGTGAGTAGAGCATATTTCAAAAAGTATAATTCAAAACATAAAGTGGTTCAAAATCTCGAAATGATAGTCTAATGAACAGATCATCTCATTTTTTGATCTCAAATTGGTAAACGGTGATTCTGAATTTTCATGATCAACAGGCATAAAATGCAATTGCTTTTTAAAAGGCAAATTCAAGTGAGATAAAATATCCAGAAATTTATAAAAATCATTAGATTTTTGAGGTTTTAGCTGGTTCATTATCTGTATGTTATGTAAAATACAAAATGATAACATTAGCTTATTATGAATTTCTACAGGATAGTATGAAAAGCCTATGCATAGGGATTTGAAGAACGGCTACTATTGTTTCATTCATGCGTAAAACAGAAGCTGTCTGAAGATAAATATATGAGTGTTTCTATACATCTCAGACTAGTATTATCAGCAAAGTCACTTATTGTTAGTCTGAACTGTGTTGGTAGGCTCAGATTATCTGATTGGGATCCGGGCCGTAATTGAGACAAATAGTTAGACATCCCAGGTAACACAGCTACAAATCAGCTGCACATTCATTTCTTCCTTATCTCTACCTTGATTTTGATTTCCAAGCTCACTCCATATATTTTCTTTCGCAAACTTATTCGTACTTTATAAACCACACTCGCTTTATGAAACACCATACGAGATTAAGTTTTATTTAAATTTGGACAGTATGTCATTTAACACCTTTCATTCTATGTCCACCTACTCCCCTATTCTTTTAAACTATTGATGGTACTGTAACTTGAATATATCATGACTCTAAAGAAAACTTTTCTCACTTGTACAAAGAATTTGTACTTTGAACAATAAATAAAATAATAAAGGGATAATAATCAAAATATATCAGTTAATAACTAAATACCTGATAGGGAGATGCATGGACATGTATTCTGGGACATGAGACGGGGTTCAGCAAAGATAGGTAGTTAAGCGAAACTGGCCACTGATGATGTGTACCTGAATGTCCAGAATCAAGCCAGTAAAAGTCTGTTATGATTTGAGAAAGTCCCAATACTTGTGCAGGAACACTTTTCACGGAATCAGTGGGTAATTTTTTGGAGCGGGATAATACTGAAAATTCATATAATATCTCTGTCAAAACACAACAACCTTTGCTAAAACCAATCAGTCTTATAGGGATAGTAGATATTTGACACTGTATATTAGCTTCACAATTTAACAACTGTTTAGCTGCATTTGACAGCAAACAACTTAAATGCATCATTCCTGTCATTTTACAGATATCGTCATTTTCAAATAATGGAACACCAGATTTCGTAAAAGGCATGAAATTAACATAACAAGCTATTGAATTAGATATCCAATGTGAAGCACGAATAATCCACACATGGGGATTAGAGTCACGAAAGTGATTAGTAAATCGTACATACAAAATTTGGGCAGTATCTTCCAAATTCCATCTAATATACTGATTATTAAAATTATTTTGACTCATATTATATTCGTAATCCTAAAAATAATAAGTAGAATAAAACTGCCCTACATTAGCATTAAAGATGATTTTAACATGAAAGTATAGTTACTTTTTTCAGAAAGAAAACGTAGGAGTGTAGAGACAAAAATTAGCCAGAAAAATCAAATCTATCCTGTCTTGAATATCATTATTACAAAACATTTTATCCACTTTTTTTGGAAAGTTAGAGGTTTTTCATTCTAGTACAAAAACAGCGGCGTCAACCACACTTCATTGTTCTTGGAAATGATTATAGTAACACTGAGATTAGGATCAATATGAACCAAAAAACTACACATATATGTGTTTATAGGAAACAGCGGGTACATTGTGTTGATCAGTGCCATCCATAACGTGACTTGGCTTCATGTTGATTCACTCTAATTATTCAACAAGAAACTGGTTGATTCAGTATTTAAAAACTGGTAAGTTAAACGTACATTAAGAAAAAATATCTATTCCGTTTCCGTATCAAGTCGAATAGCTTCCTTAGAAATGTGTCAGAGAGAAAAGCTTAAATCTGACTTTCTAAATAGACTTGATGGAACCCGAAGTTAAGGCCTGGAAATGTATCATTTGGCTGACTTAAGTTACTTCACAATAAAGAATACATAAGAGACTTTAATAATCCCTTATCTCACAGCGTAAAATTACATCAATTCAGTTGGTCATAATTAACATACGATCTGGCACATTATTGTCATGAGATCCTAGTCGTTTGTATAATATACTACTTTACCTTCTGGTACTGAAACTAAACAAAGACTTACATTATTCTTGAAACGTAAAATCACTTTCGAAAGAAGTTAAATCAGTGTCTAACACTTTCTATCCTTAAAATAACCTGACGAAATTTTAATACAGACACAAAAACATTATACCGATTTGTAGCTTCTTAATCCAACTGGGAAGAAAACAATATTTTAAAATGTGCATAAAATGTCGCAACTTAAGAATTAATTAGTTATCTAAACATAAGCTTGTTACGATAAATATGTCATATGACGTCAAATAATTTGTAATTGATTGGTGACTTGGTGGTGACCAATGCCATGTATATCAAGTCCTTCTTAGTACAGATCGAATCCTATTAACCAAGTTGCAATGTGGTCACCAGTCTAGGTGACTCGACATTGCGTGCACTATGTTGAGATAAGATGGTGGTTGGAAGTAGTCAACAGGAAACCCTGGACCTAGGTTTCGTGGTACAGGTACACCTTACTGACGAGTGCCAAGTAGCACAAAACCTAGGTCCAGGGTTTCTTATTGACTACCTCCGACCACCATCCGAAGTCAAATAATATTAGGAAACAACGAAAATAGATAGTACACGGTTGTGAAATATAAAGAATGAAAATGAAAGATAACAGGGTTTTTTGAAGCATTGTTCACATGGTCGAGTTAAGTATCACATACAGGGAGCAGGTTGGTTAGTGAACTTTTATCGATTGATGTGAATAAATAATACATTTAGGGTATATGAACACCACTTACCACAACGCTTTATGCTAGCCGGAGAAATAATTAGGCATCAAGGGTTTTCGACTGATCAAACCAATTTTAGTGGCCTGCATGAATACCTGAGCTACCTGTTCCTGCCACCTAGATTTTCGAAAGGTTATTTGTTTTTGTTTGTTTTAACACACCATTATGTCTATTATTCGCATAACCTATTCAGGTGCGTTTCTGAAAGTCAATCAGTCAGTAACAACGTAGAACTTCGTACGTACGTACATCAGTTCGAGTTGCCACACCACATTAGCACAGAGATGCAGTTGTCGATTCACATCCCGTAGTGGTAGAGGTGATAAGAGTATAAGTAGTAATCGGAAACCTTAAGGTTTGAAGATGTTATTTAAAGAGTATAATCCAGTGAAATAAATTTGGAAAGAGTAAAAAGAACGGGACATGAAGAATTCAGAAGACTAGAATTTGGGAGAACACAAAGAATGTATGCACCTGAGCCATTGCAAATGATTTTGAGCCATGTCATTCAAGGTCTCTAACCATCGGTTGCTATCATCTCGCGGTCCCCAACCAGGTATTCTACACCTACCAACATGACTCAGTCCACTTGTCAGTGACTTCATGGACTTGTGCAATGTTTTGGTCTGGCCGCCCCTAGCTTTCTTCCAACCTACTCCTATACCACGGAACATCGCTGTATAAGTCACAAGAACGTACAATCAGAGACATTATGGTGGCTGGCAATATGGATTAAAAGAATGAAACTTATTCAGGTGTCGATTCCCGAACTGCTAACATACTTTGGGTCGAGAGACATCGTCCAACATGGCGACCGCCTGCACCAAGCCAACGATGGACTCGAATAGACCATATTGCCATCAGTCACCGTTGGAAAGGGTCGAAAGAAGATTGTCGCTCATTCTGGAATACCTGTTTGGACTCCAACCATGCTCTAACACGGGCACGCATCTGCAAGTGCCCCATTGGACGCAGAAAAGCTACACTAAAAAGACCCATCGGAATTGAATTGAGTGACGAGAAAATCGAAAGTAGGTTCTAGGAACAACTGAGGTCACACTTAGGTAGTTCTGAAAACGAGGCTGACCCAGATGTTGCTCGGAAAGATATCCAAACAACTGTGGAAATAGCAGTGACATCTGTGAGTGATTTACACCAAAGGGTTACAAAAAGCCAATGGGTTTCTTCTAAGTCTATTGCACTGATGGATTCTCGTAAACTCATCTCATCAGACTCTGAACACGATGAAGAGCGAAAACAAATCATATCTAGGTTAAGCAAAAGTCTAAGGAACGACCGTGAGCATTGGTGGGCAACGAAAGCGAAAGAGATGGAAAAGGCGGTGGCTGTAGATAACACAATACAGCTCTATAGACCAATAAAAAAGACTGGAATTAATAAGTCAAGTGTATGTGAGACTATCTCGGAAAAAACCACACTCCTATTTGCACCCAGTCTAGACGTTTAAAACGATGGGTAGGATATTTTAAAGAGAAGTTCAGCTGGCCTTCAGCTACTCTACAACTACCCACCACTCCCAGACAGCGTGGATGGAACATCGAAGTAGGTCCTCCGATTCTATCTGAAGTTTGAAAGACTACAGTTAATCTGAAACGAGGAAGAGCAGCTGGTCCAGATGGATTGGTCCCAGATGTCTTTAACTATGGTGGTCCAGTTTTAGCGATTAACTTGACTAGTATGTTAACTTATTTATTTATTTCAACACATAGATATTGGTACAAAGAGGCACCAAATATATATTCGCCACACAAATCTCATTCGATATATGCGAGGGCTGTGATACTGCCCGGGTGCCCGAGTCGGAGCAGGTGGTTTTCTTAGGAGGCCACTCCCAGAGCCTTCGACCTGAAGGTCTGATCTACAGGGCAGTGGAGCATCGTAAGGAGATGCAGTCCCATGGAAGCCGGTGACCAACAATTGGTTTATACGCCATTTGTTCCCGCAGGATACTGGAGCCCATGTGCACCATTGGTTTGGAATCCGGTTAAAGCGCCGGGCATTCGCTATTCGTCCTCTCATTTTCGTAAACAACACCCCCGTCACGAGAAGGCAGTGAGTAGTTGGACGTAATCCCATTTGACTGGTCACAATCACTGATCGTCCCAATATATAAGAAAGGGTCAAAATCATCTTATGACAACCATAGAGAGATTAGTTTAACTAATATAGCATTTAAAATACTAGCCTCAATAATTATCGGACGCCCAAAAAACTCATGAACTGCAAACACGAGAGAATCAAGTTGGTTTCAGACCTGGTCGTGACTGCATCGACCACATAATCACCATTCGTCAGGTTTCGGAACACAAGCATGCTTATCGGCGTCCAACAATGACAGTTTTTGTTAACTGAAAAGCAGCAGCATATAACTGTAGACCAAAAGCTTCTGTGGCAGTGTCTGTCATTGAAAGGTGTACCTCAGAGGTACATAAACCTTGTGAAGGCTCTTTACTCGAACACTACTAGTCGAGTCAGAGCTTATGGCGAACTGTCACCTGTTTTTGCAACATCAAGTGGTGTCTGCCAAGGCTGTCCAATTTCCCCATTTTTGTTTAACTTCATCATAGACCTACTGATGGAAATAACATTCTCATCGACTGAATTTTCGGGCAATGATCTCCTTCCAGGAGGTCCACTTATCGACTTGAAATACACAGAAGACACAGTCCTGTTTGGCAAAGACGTTGATAAAATCCAGTCATTTGGTAGCACTAAGCAACAATGCCAGAATGTTTTGAATGCGCTTCTTCCCCTCTAATGGCAAGTTGTTGCTTCAGGATTGGTCTGCGTCAACACCTGAACTAAGGATAGGGAGTGAAGTAGTCGAACGCGTCGACAACTTCACTTATCTTGGAAGTCTGATCGGCCCTAATGGGTCGGTGTCTGACGAAATCTCAGCACGGATTCGAAAGGCTCGTTAGGCTTTTGCCAACGCACGTCACCTATGGCGAAGGCGAGATATCCGTCTATCAATAAAAGAACGAGTATTAGGGAATGATGGTAAATCAGTTTATGAGGTTGTGAATCTTCATCAACTGAGATAGTTGGGAACACGTGTTACGTATGCCTGAACACCGATTACCATGATGTGCAATGCTAGCCGAAATTGGGGATGGTTAGAAGAAAGTTAGGGGCGGCCAAACCAAAACGTGGTATCAGTCCTTGAAGTCACTAACTTCTAGTCTGAGTCATGTTGCTAGATGCAGACTACTTGATTGCGGTCCGCGTGACTATCGTAACCAATGATTGGAGACTCTTGGTGACATGGCTCAGAATCGATCACAATGGCGTAGGTGTATACACTCTCTGTCTTCCCTCAAACCATGAGATTAAAATTGCTTCATATCTTTGTTTCATATATTACCACCACTGGATTAACTACTTCTATGAATCCGGTGTTCATCTTGTTGTGCTAATGGAGTATGGCAACTTGGACCGATGCACATATGTGCCTGGTCTTACGTTGTAGCTGACTGACTAACTTTGGGCTGAGAATTACTCTACATTGTCCTAAAAATATAATATTGAATAAAACCATAATAATAATAATCCTTATAGTTCCATGGCATCAACCCTTTTATGTGTGGATGAGTACGTTTCTTCGTCAGATTTCGCAAGAGATAGTCAATCCATATTCAGTCACACGTACATACATAGACTAACATTTTATTTTACTACGGACGGTACAACACCTATGTCTATAACAGACAAGCTTCGTTTAAATAGTATGATCAAAATCGATATCCATTCATAAAACTCACTAGTCGAAACACATTTTATCCATTCATAAAACTCACCTGTACATCACCTCCAAAATAAACCAAATTAACAGTAGGATTCACTTTTGTTCCGAGGAAAATTACATCATTACGTTTCTTAAGATAACCCACACAATTCTTAAGTTCACGCTTTATTAAACACATCTTGAAATTTAATCTATAGCCAGAGAGAAAGAGGATTATTACGAGAAAGGTTTTAGTACTATAAGCAAAGGTTTTTGAAAAGTAATATGCTGTTTATTAGTTTGCTTTTGTTTAAAAAATGAATCGATCTAAGAACTATCACTGAAGAGTATTTATCGGATACTTATTAAGTAACTAGCTTTGCTAGTAAAATATTCCAATTTAGTTATTCACCTATAAAAAATGTAAGACCTGATACAAATGTACATCGGTTCCGATTGCCACACTACTGCAACACAGCGGGGAAAAGTGAACAAAAATACCAGTGCGCACTTATCTAGTACTCAAGGTCAACAAGTTAATTGGTTTCAATGATTTCCCTAATCTGGAATTTTTATAAACAACAATCAAGTCTTAATTGACTGGAGAATGAATGATCTATCGGTTGATTTCTCCTAATCACCTATAACATTTGGTCATGTTTGTTTTGCGTTCATATTCATCATAGAAACACTTTATTTTATTCCATAAAAACCTATTCATTTGACTAGTGATATTGTTTTCGATTTTGAACTGTCCAGAAACTTAAGTCGATAATATGGTTTTGTGAGGATCTATCACTCGACCACAACATATTATTGGGGTCATCTATCGACCGGCATTTTAACCATTTATTTCAACAATCAAAAATGTCTCGTTAATCATCGAAAATTTCATCTATAAAGGTGGTAACGAGGATAAGGTGAAAATTAGTTTTTAAAATCCTTACTACTATAGATGGGTAGAACTTATTGTTCATCAAGTTAGGGCGGTCGTAGACCAGAATGCTTCCAAATGAATCAAAATCTGATCACAACTAACACGTTAATAACTTACAACTGAATACAGTTCACAATGAAGAATGCAATAGAGACCAAAATCTCAGTTCATGCAACAATACAATGGTCGAAAGCAATGACGTACCTAAGTGGATATAGACCTGAAGTTACTGAAAATTCAAATGCAGTCATGCAATATCAGTAAGAATTCCCAGGGAATTCTTCAATTTCAAGTCCAGAACCTACAATTTCAGTCACACATCATTAATCAGAGTCTACAGTACATATGTCAGATCAACCCTCACAAAACACATCGAATAATCTCACGAGAACCACTTACTTTCGCAATTACAGCACACGACCACTTTAGGTGCTTACATTATTATGAATCAACTCATGCAACAAATGAAAGAGGAAATGAAGTATCTTACATTTTATATCAATAAGGCTGTTGTAATCAGAAAAAGAAACAAAAATATGGCTCATGGTCAATGTACAAACATGTAAGTTTTAAAAAGATTTAACTATGCTTTATTTATCTTTGAAAAAAACAAGATACAGAACAATTGCAACTTGGCCAAACAGGTATCCAGTCACAGTTTAAAGCACAAGAAACTTACGGCTAGAATACTTGATTATAATTGTTCAGAGGAGCAATCTATGATATTGTTCACATACTAAATGATTTAAGATATACCATAAAATTTGTTTCCATGCGATACTACAAGCTATGGATACATTTTCTACAGAAAACGATAGAAAAGCCTCCAGGAGGTTCATTTAACTAAACATGCAGTCTTTTCTAGACCTGTACTTAGAGAGAGGTACAAATTTCACACGAACTTATGTATAAATAACCTTCAACAGGATAATAATTAGAATAAAATCAGGCGAGATTATAAGTTATGGACGAACCAATCACGTATAAGATAACAGGTCTCGGATTTTGGCGCGAAATTCACACATTCATTCGGACAAGCAGAGTTTTGGCACTATACCTGATGTCAGTTCGTGATGAAAACCCTAAATCTAATTTCGAACTTTAATCATAAACTGTAAATCATAATTTTAATTCATCACACACGTCTACAACTCTCATTTGGACCTGGTTACTAGGTGGGCACTTTCAAGGTCAGTCTGGTGTCACTCAATAGTCGTCCATAAATCATAGTCTCCCCAGAAATAAAAAATATCAGAAACAAAAGCAGTTCTAAACTTTAGTAACACTTTCACAAAGCTTCTTTTATGAAAAACAGTTAGAGCATATCGCGATTATTGTTGGAGATTTAAACAGTTGATGAGAGTTAAGATCGGAGTAGGACACACAATCTTTTAGACGTATCTGAAGTTTGATGGTCTTAATACGCGTTTGATAGTGTAATGTCAGTAAACGACGAATGTCACTTAACGCTTTTATATTGTCATTAAAAGCAATGGAGCAGGACATCAGTCAGTCAGCTACAACGTAGGACCAGGCACATAAGTGCATCGGTTCAAGTTGTCATACCTCAATAGCACAACAGTTGCCACATCCTCACAAAATAATAGATTGAAGCAGAAAGGAAAAGAATGAAGCTAGCCAAATTTCAAGAAAGATTTTTGAAGTGTGGGAACTGACGATTCAACTTGACTACCCAACTCATGAGAGGTGATATGTTGAAACAACCTCAAGTATAAAACAATGTCGTAAAATCGCATGAATAAAGTAAATAAATACATATATAACTGCGGTAATATTATGAGAGTTGACTACAATTTTGTTCTTCAAAAAATTTACCACATACAACGAAAATTTATAAAGTAACTGAGATCCCACATCTTTTTAAATTATCCTCTTTTGACTCACTTGAGAAATGGCAGGAAAACTTGGCATACCGAATAGTTTGGAAACAGCTTACTATTTCCAAACCATTGCTCAACATATATTGATCAAAAATATTCATTCAGCAGATCATAACATTCCAAACTACAATGAAAATACCGTGTTTTTCTGGACTTGTAGATGAATAGCCAAGAAAAGGATTCACTATTATTTACTATCAAAAAGCCTGGCACAATCGGACAAAAAAATGGGCCACACAAAAAAGTATCGAAAATATTTTGGAGGAATATAAGGGAGGAAAGTAGTGTGATCAATAAACAAGTTTTAAAAAATAGAATACAGTAGGAGATAACAACTAACTAAAGATACAAGAACGAAAGTTTTTTCCAGATAGGAAAAATTATCGAACTATTGTGGAAAGTCGAATAAAATATTGCAACAAAGTTGGCATTGTTTTTTATTCTGAACCATACAAAAACCTCTCAACAAAGTTGGACCACGTTTAAGATCTCAACGGAGGAAATGTGATGGACCGACAGATCCAAGTACTAAACTGCTTCCTTTCATACTACGGTGACGTGTTATAAACTGATAGCCTCTTCGCTTTCTCCAACTATTCCTAGCACCAGTATATAATGGGCGATGTGGGAGCCGCTAGGATAAAATTTGTAGTCATTGTCCCCATAATGGAGAGATAGGATTACCGGCAAGAAGTTACACAAGCGTAGAGTAGAAAAAAGCTGATAGTTTGGACTAGAAGTTAGTAGAGAAGGGCTTAAACCCGCCATAGTTTTGTAGTGCCCAAACCGATCATACGGTTATAACTGTCCCGAGCTCACAATTTTAGGGAAATTTTGGGGTTATTGTGCTATTTCCCCAAAATGTGCCAAATTTTTCCCAAAATTGGGAGCTCGGGATAGTAACAACAGCAGTTGCTGTTAAAGTAAAAACACCCGATGATATGCATATAAATTCTCCATCTAATTAGTTGACTGAAAACGCCAAATTGATCGTATTGAACCAACCAGTCAACTGATAAATAGTTTTCAAGTCAAAAGTCGCTTCTTACTGTTGCTTTGCCTTTCTCAAGGACAACCTTGAGGTTGAATATCCACCATTGTAAACGAGGTTGATTAAGAAGGAAAAATCACTGAAATACTTCAGTCTTCAAAAGTAAGCGTAAAATATAGAGTGAAATATAATAATGACTAAGATTTTCAGCGTTGTAAAAGTTTACTCTCTCTATTAATTTATCAAAAGTGGATGCATCACAGATCATCTCCCGCTGTTCATGTTGATCTGAGGTTTGTTTTTGAAAATCTTCCGAAATGAGCGTCAACGTTGGTACATTTACTGTACCTCAGCGTTAATCAGTCAAAAAGTTCATCAAAACCCTTTCTTTGGACAACTAGTGGACTAAATGGTGGAATAAAAGTAGGATGTGAGGTGATTTCTTGAAGACCAACGACTGTGATCTAGGTTTCGCGCAAACTTTGTTGTTCTTCAAGTCGCCAAGCGAAATATGTTTGAAATTAATCAATTCTGGTCACTTAATCTATCAGCAAATATGAGATATGAAACACGAATACACTGTTGAACTAATAATCAGAGTACTACCTTATTTGTTAGGTAACAGTAAAGGTGCCACATGTATTCGGAATTTCACAACATTCTCAAACGTAGTGCAGGACCAGTGAAATGTCACTGAGCCCTAGCCAAATCATCCGGCAGTTGGATCACTGAATGTCGAACAGATCATCGTTCCCTGCCAAGGTCATGTACAACCAACGCACATCAGTTATTAGTATGCCATGGACTGACCCATGCGGCATTCGTCTTACTTTCGTGCCATTCCGAAACACCGAGAGACGATGAATGAAGTATACTAAATCATTCAATTCAGAAGTAAGAAATGAACAGGTCCGAAAATACATTTGAAAAGCTGTAGTGACGTACGTTTATCAAGAGAACGCAATTGGTATAATGGAGAGAACTATTATTATAACCATTTGTTCCACTGGTTATTTTACTATACTTGTTTGTTTAACTGTACTAAAGACATTCTTCCTTCCGTCGGTTGTGACCTTGCACGAACTTACGTTTGCTCAGTAGTTTCGCTTGTACTCCTTTGGCACGATCTCGGTATTATTCCGATACCACGAGATCGCCAACAAATATATATCGTCACAACCTCCAGTCACCTTCTGATTTCTGGTTTACCCGGAGGTTTAGCCTGTTCTGGTACGCAATCTTCTTGTAGTGATGACCATAGTCAAACGCGACTCGACGACAAACTACAAATAATGAACGCGAAACTAAGAACACTTTTCAATCGTGGTCAAATCTTCCCAAAATGCCAATTGCAGTGAGTCTATTACTTATCTATTCACGTCTGTTGCACATTTCCATATTTTTTCAATATATAATATTCTGTCAACAACTTGAGATGACTGATAACGATAGGAATGGTTTCATTATTATGAATTCTGACGTACAGGTTGTCCACTTTCGACCTGTCTTCTATACCCTACAATCCGTAAGTTTGGTTCGCGGCACTGGAGTCTCTGTTCGAGACCCTCCGCACTACGAGCCAACGGCAAAAATATGCCTACGCTCTGGAATCTTTACCAATGTATCACATAGTCGCTGTCCGTGAGGTTTTCCCCAACCGCAATGTACCTAAAGTTTATGACCGCCTCGAGGAGGCGACCCTCAGACATTTCCACCCATGTAGGGAGGAACGGTCGAGGACATTATTAGCACGTCACCCCCTAGGTAATGCTAAGCTGAGACACCACCTCACGCACCTGCAATCTCTTGCAGGACCCACGGCAGGTGATTCTGAAATTGTTAAGTAATTTTGGCTCGAATCGTTACCAGCACACATCCAACCAACGATCACCGCCCTGCTCGAGGATGCGCTACTCAACCAGGTGGCCTTCATAGCAGACAAAATATTGGCAAGGACTGGCATTCGAGACAACTTTAAAGTTGCCTGAACGTCACGTTCGAACGTGGATATCAAAGCTAGTCGCTTCCTGGCTCAAGGTGATAGGAGCGGTCGTATTCATACACGTCTTAACTTCCGAGACCGTTGTGATATCCCCGATCCCTACGTCCCTCAAGTCGGATCACGCTCTCGGAAAGCTGCAACCACTCGCTCAACGCGGGCATCTTCCAAGCCACGCCAAAAGGCGGGTTCGGAAGAGAGTGTGGGTTGATGCTGGTTTCACCGCTCATTCGGGTCCGGTGCCCACCATTGTCGAGCCCCGTGCTCATACAAGGCGATAAACTTTCGAGCTGGCGAGTAAATGCGGCCATACTCGCTGGCCCCTCACCCCAGGATGGCCATTAATATTATGTGCACGATTATCGCACGAACGCTAGATACCTAGCAGATACAGGTGCCCATGTTTCTGTCATAAGTCTTGGTAACAGTAAGTCACAAGCTACGACGCTTCAACTACGCCCTGTGATTGGCTCAGCCATTCCTACCTATGGTACACGACAACTCACGGTCAACCTGGGCAACCGACAATAG